TGTATAATTACAAGCCACATTAAAAATAATTTTGGGGAATAATTCTTAAGAAAGTAAAAGGGCTTCTAAAAACAAAAAGGTTGAGCCTAGTTAATACAGTTCATAGTAATAACTGTCCCAAACACAAAGGTAAAAAGAGGATACAATTGAGTGGCAATGTGGTATCTTAAAAAAGGGCATTCATAATTAAGACCAGGATAAACAAAAGCAGTGTTTAGAGTCTGTGGGAGCACTAGATTCAGTCCATTTGGGGGTATCATTTTCATTTCATATGTAAGGAATTTGTTTAATCTCTTCAGAATGCTTTAAATGTGTTGAGCCAAGAACAAAGAGCAAAGTAATTCATTTCCAAACTCACTTTCTGCCAAAAAAGAACACTTTTAGTTCCATTAAAGTATTCAAAAAATGGAAAATTGGAAAGAAATAGTTATCTTTTCAGAGCACTGTCAAGATAAAATATGGAATTTTGAATTAAAAAAAAACACAGTAAGCAAGGAAAAATGCTAAATTCAACTATCATGAATAAATCTCACATTTTATTGAACAAAAGAATAAATACAATGACTCCATTTATATAAAATGAAAACATGCAAAACTAACCTATACTTTTTGCTCAATATATAGACAGGTTGTAAAGAAAAGCAAAGAACAATAAAAGTCACAATAATGATTTTCTCTAAAGGAATGGGGGAAATAATGATTGGGAAGAAATACATATGTATGATTTCTGGAATGCCATTAATATACTTGAGATTATCACTCTGTATATGTTATTACATTGTGTTTGTGGCAAACTATAACTTCTACCAGAGTAAAGCCAGCAATGTACTTAACACCATAATTGACAGTCACTGAATAACAAAAGGTGAAAATAAACCTTCAAGTTTAAACCAAGTTTTAGTCTTGACAAACAAAAGAAAACATACTACGTGTTCGTTAACATGATAAGCAGGATTAATCTTCGGTTGTATCTGATAAAGATTAAATATTCATTACTCATCAAAGTTCAAAACATTAATTATAAATTATTTCTTTTTAACATAAGAATGAATGTATTTTAATCCCAGAATTATTATGCAGCAGTAGAAACATTAAAATACTAAATAATTCCTACCTTTTACTTCTTTTTCATGAAAACATCTCAATGGACCCAAATGTATATTCAGAAATTTAAAACACAAACAAAAAATCAGAGGAATTTTTAAAATACAACTGGTTTTCTACTATTCTACCCCCTCATGAATCTACTATTAGCCATTTCTCCAAGAATTGCTAACAGCTTTTAGTGGGGAATCATATTGAGAGGTCACAATCTGGATGCTAGGGATACTCACCACCACTGGGTTGTCATTTGCTACAAGGCAGTTAAGAAATGAGAAGCAGAGTTAGTAAAGGAACTGAGAACAGATACAAAGTCTTCTATTTGTAGTCCAGTGTTCTTTTCACTATATTTTAATGAATTATACCCATGTTTTGCATATGGCCATCAGCTATATTTTTTCATTACTTTAATCTTTAATATCTATCACATACTAAATCACCTTGGAAAAGTCATTCACCCACTCTAAATTAGTTTTTCTATATGTAGTACATAAATAAATAATCTGATTACTTATCTCTTGGATTATAAAAGGAGGAAATAAGAGATTGCATATAAAAGTGCTTTTATTGTTATCTAACACCTGACAGAAGACCAAAGGGTCACTGTGCGGACTTACAAGGCAATATAATTCTATGGCCATGCTATAAGCTTCCCCAACACAGGAGAGCAAAGACCATGAGGACTGGCCTGACAAGAAATGCAGGACCCCAGGAATCAAACCATATAAGCAACCAAAACTGCCAAAGAACCACCAGATAGCACATCCGCACTCCTGTAGAACAATGGTTCTCAACTTTCCTAATGCCATGACCCTTTAATACAGTTCCTCATGTTGTGGTGACCCCCAACCATGAAATTATTTTCATTGCTACTTCATAACTATAATTTTGCTATTGCTATGAATCGCCATTGGAAATATGTGTTTTCTGATGGTCTTAAGCGACCCCTGTGAAAGGGTCGTTCGACCCCCAAAGGGGTTGTGACCCACAGGATGAGAACCACTGCTGTAGACCCAATGTTCCTGCCCAAACCCACCAACCAAGAGTCCAAACCCACTGATGACAAAAGCTTCCCGCCAGTGGCTACATTCAAGGACGAGACTCCAGCTCCTAGGGGCTGCCATCACTGACCCAATACCCCATGGCTCAGTGATATGTAGCCCTTCCCTTTGGATATCCCATTCCTCGTCCTCTTTTCTTTTACATAAATCTAATTTTTCTTTATTCACCATCTGGGGTTGCTATTTAGCCTGCCCACACACCACACCACCGACTTTAACCTTTCAGGCACCTCTGGGTTTACAAAGGCAGACTAGTAGAAAACATCAAATGGGAGCCAGAAACAAGACACATGTTTAAGGGGTAAACATAAAGAAGGGCTTATCTTATAAAATATTTTCTATAATTTTAAAAAAACAATGTGGCCCTGGCCAGTTTGGCTCAGCAGTTAGAGCGTGGGCCTGCAGTCCAGAGAGACCCGGGTTCGGTTCCCGCTAAGGGTGCATACCTCGGTTGCAGTTTGTCCCCAGCCAGCCCTGGTTGGTCGTGTGGGTGGCAGCCAGTCGATGTGTCCCTTTCGCGTCAATCTCTCTCTCTCTCTCTCTTTCTCTTCCCCTCTCTCCTTCCCACTCTAACTGAACAAAAAATGGAAACATGTTCCCTGGTGAAAAAAAAAAATGTGATCCTAGTTCAAAAAAGGACATTAAAATGAAACCCCAGAAACAGACGAATTATTAAACAATTTCGTAAAACATAAAGAAGACAATTCAAACTTGTAAATAATGAAATAATTTCCTATAGTGTAGTGAAATTGTTAGCAATGAAGAAAAGCTAAGACCATCACCACACAAAATACTCTAAAATATTTTATTTTTCACTTTTTTTTTTTATCCTCACCCGAGGCCACTTTTGCATTTATTTTCAGATAGGGCAGGAGGGAGAAAAGAAGGAAGAGAGAGAAAGAAACATCAATGTGAGAGAGACAAATCAAGTGGTTGCCTCCCACATGACCCCAACCAGGGCCAGGGACAAACTGCAACAGAGGTATGTGCCCATAGCAGGAACCGAACCCGGGACTCCATGGTCGCAGGCCGATGCTCTAACCGCTGAGCCAAAAGAGCCAGGGCAACCCTAAAATATTTTAAATTAAAAAGCAAAAGTAGAGCCCTGGCCGGCTTGGCTCAAAGGTTAGAGCATCAGCCTGTGGACCAAAGAGTCATGGGTTCAATTCCGGTCAAGGGCACTGGTTCGTCCTGGGCCCTGGTCAAGGGCGTGTGGGAGGCAACCAATCGATTTGTCTCTTTTACATCCATGTTTCTCTCTCTCTCCCTCCCACTCTATCTGAGATAAATAGAAAAATATCCTTGGGTGAGGATTACCAAAAAAAAGTAAAAGTAGAAAAGGAACTTAGAACAACTTAAAAAAAAATTATAGGTAAATATTTATATGTTCTCAAAATGAGGGAAACTGAGCAAAAAAGTCATGGGAAAATGGCCATCATGGAAGAAAGAGATTTGCATTACTTAAACAAATGAAAATTTAATACATTTAAAATACTCGACCTCACTGATAATCAGGGAAATATAAACTAAAACAAACATTAAATATTTTCCACTCAACAGATTTAACGCACACACACACACACATACACACATACACAAAGGAGAAAGAAGAGAAAATTGACAGTGTCAATTATTGTTGGCAAGGGCAAAGGAAATCGGTATGCTGCTTTTTTTCAAAAGTTGGTGCATTTGAGAACATTTATCCTGTTTCTATAGGGTGTATGTATTTTATAATCAGTAAAAATTAAATAAAATGAAATGAAAACATATTAATTTGGATTTTCATGTCTGAAATAACTGGAAAGCCTAAAAATGGCTTCTACATACTAGATGATAACTCCTCCAAATCTCTCCAGCAAAGATTTCACAATCATGCAATTATGACATAAATACTCTACCATACCCAAGTAGAAGTTATAACGAGAGAAAAAAGAAAAAAAAATCTGGCCATGGCTTAACAGTCTCAGAAGTTTCAGAGGTTTCTAGCAAGTTTGTGGTATTCTTCTCTAAAACTGAAAACTTCATTCTGACAGGCTAGAGATCCAGGAAGTCTCAGAATCATGACAGAGTCACTTAGCTGTGTGCGTAAGATTACATAATTCAAATTCTCCAAGTCTTATTTTCTCATCTGTAAAATGTGCACAGAATCGCAGCCACACTGATCGCTGTGAAGTTTAGACACAGTGAATGCCCAGGGCCTAGTTTGAACGATTGGGCAGGTATCTGGCACTTATCGTATGGCCACTGCTACTATTGTTACTGAACCTGGCTTAACTTTATCTGTGAATAATTAGGTTCAAACAACAATTATTACTCCACTGAAGTAAAAAAAGTATAGTTTATACATCTTGCATGACAATGAAATGTGCTCTCTAAACTAAATTTTTAAAAAGAAAGGAAATAAAAAGGGAAGGAAAAATAGGAAAGGAAGGTAGGGAAAAAAACGGTGAAAAAAAGAATGGAAAAAGAAGTTAAAATATAGACACAAAGCAAGACCAGAAATGCACTTTAATAAAGAAAAATGGCAAATAGTTACACTGACTACTCTAAAGCTCAACAGTACCCACTCATTAAATTGGCACTGAACTTACCAATTAAGTGTGATCAACTTGAAGCAAGAGGAACTTTCTCCTATGCTGAGGTGTCCTCACAAAGCTGTGGAATAAAACTTGCCTTTTATACTTAAAGCCATCCTTTATTGCTAAATAGTTGGTCTGAGAGGAAGGCAGTAAACAGGGTTAGAAAGAGAAAAAAGAGGAGGATAAAGAAGAGAAAACAACATGCAATTCTGGATCAAGTCTCTTTACCTGATCCTGACAGATTCTCCCCTGTTCTCACCTGGAGTTGTGCGGAGCTGTCATTCAGACTGTCCTCCCTTCGCCGCGCCTCCTCTAGCATCTGGGCACTCTTCTTCTTTTCCACCTGTTCCTTGTGCTTCAGGTTTGCTACTTTCTTATTCTGGTCTTTCACTTGCCTGTTGATATGAGGGGAGAAAAATCAAGCTATTCATGTATATTCTTAGAAAAAATGTGTTTGTTTAGAGTTTTACAACACTGCCACCAAGGAATAGCTGAAAATCAACAAAGAATTCCTGATGCTAAACGGTTCCAACACTTTCAAGTGCTCTCCTACAAATAGTAGCAAATTGTTAACAACAATGTTTCAGGAACATGTATTTCAGCATGTACTTTATGAAATCCTAAAAGAAAAGGAGGGCATAGGATAGTTTGAAATGAAAAAGAAACCAAGTCAGAGATTTATTTTGGGAAGATGGAAAGAATCTCTTAACATCAATGCTATGAAATAACAGAATGCTGATTTAAGAAAGGTTTTATAAAACTCTTATTTTACTATGATTAAATCGTTCACACTTTCAAAAGGCTATATGCAATATATATGTAAATAAAAACAATACTAGAAATATCTGGGAACCCAGCTTAAGCAACAGAACATTATCTACTTCTGAAGCTCCCTATCCTATACCACTGTCTCCACACTAAGAATAGCCCACATTCTAAAAATATTGTATTTAAACTCCCCTTGCTTTTATTATAGCTGTGTTACATATATTGATCCTTTATTTTGTATGTTCCTGAAGTTTACATATAAAGTTTATTAATAAACTATTTTTTCTTTTCAATTTTTGAGACTCATACTGATCAATGAGTATAATGTTTTTTTACACCCTCAATTCTCAATGCAGCATAAAATAATATAGGGCAACTGCTTTAACACCTTCCTAAGCTGATAAACAACTGGGCTGTTTCATTTACTATTACAAGCAATGCTGCTAGGTTCATTCTGATATGCCTGTGCAAGAGTTTCTCCAAGGCATCAGCCATACAAACTGAGTTGCTAAGTCATGTAGTAGGTATACCTTCAAGTTTACAATTTTCCAAGAAGTTGTATTAATTTATACTTGAACCAGTAGTGCAAAACAGTAGCTGTTACACTTCTACATACCCACTAATACTTGGTACTATCAAGCTTTCTAAATTTTATCAATCTGGTAGATATAAATAAATTATATATCATACAGTTTTAAAATGTATGTTCCTGGCTACTGAGGCTGAACATCTCTTCATGTAATATTTGACTATTCCAGTTTCTACTTCTGTAAAATAGCTATTTATGTGTTTTGTCCATTTTTCAACTAGGATATCTTTTTCTTTTTTTTTTATCCTCACCTGAGGACATTTTTCTTTTTCTTTTTTTTTTTTGTTCAGGTAGAGTGGGAGGAGGAGAGAGGAAGAGAGAGAGAAACATCGATGAGAAAGGGACACATCGAGTGGCTGCCACCCACACGACCAACCAGGGCCGGGGACAAACTGCAACCGAGGTACATGCCCTTAGCGGGAACCGAACCCGGGTCTCTCAGGACTGCAGGCCGACGCTCTAACCGCTGAGCCAAACCGGCCAGGGCAGGATATCTTTTTCTTAACGACTTGTAAGTATTCTGTCATGTTCTGGATCATAATCCCTTATCTGTTTTATGCTACATAAATATTTTCTTCCAATTATGAATTATTTCTTTGATTATTTTATGATATGCTTTCATTTATAAAATTTAAAATTTTTAATTGTTTCAAATGTGCCAATTTTCTCTTTTATGGTTTGAAAATTTATGACTTTTTCATACGATCTTCCCTATCCCAAGTTCACAAAGATACTCCCTGAAAATGATGTAATTTAGTCTTTCACACTGAAGTCATTAATCCACCTGAAACTTATGCTCTGTATGGTATGAGGTAGAGACAAAATTTCATTTTCGGGTATGGTCTGAGGTAAGAATAAAATTTCATTTTTTTACATACATTGATAACTAATTATCCATATGCATTACTTCATATGCATTGCTACTTCGTATATTAAGTTTCTATATATATGGGTGCCTGTTGGTATCCTTGTATATTTTTGCACCTTTATTTATATTTTTTAAATATGCATTTACTGGTTTTTTTAGAGAAAGAGGAAGAGAGAAAAAAATAGAAACATTGATGTGAGAGATCTGCTGCCTTCTGCACACCTCCTACTGGGGATCAAGCTTGCAACTGGGGCATGTGCCCTGACGGGGAATGAAACCAGGACCTCTCAGTCCATGAGACAATGCTCAATCCACTGAGCCACAGTGGCCAGGCCATTTCTGTACCTTTATAAGAAGTCTTAGTATTTGGTAAGGCAAGCCTGCCTACCTTGTTCTTGTTCATGACTGTCTTGACTACTCTTGCTCCTTTAACACTTTCCCCATCTTGTCTAGTTCCACTAAACCAACCAACCACAGTAACCAAAATCCAATAGCAGCCTTTTGGGATTTGACTGAAAATGTAGCATACCTATTTATTAACTTGGGAAAAACTGACATTTTCATGCTCATGAATTTTTCAATTCATTTACATGGCATATTTCTCCAGTTACTCAGTTCTCCTTAAAAGGCTTTCAAAGAAGTATTAAAATTTCCTCAATAAGACTGGCATTTATTTTATCCATAGGTATTATCTTGTATGTTTTGTTGTCATTTTAAATTCTAGACATCATTTCAACATACATGGTTCCTTAAACAAAGTAAGCACTCTTTTATTTTATTTATTTATTTTTATTTGATTTTCAGGAAGGGGGGGGAGAGAGAAACATCGATGTGAGAGAGACACATCGAGTGGCTGTCACCCACACGACCCCAACAGGGGCCAGGGATGAACTGCAATTGAGGTACATGTCCTTAGCGGGAACCAAACCCAAGACTCTCGGGCCATGGGCTGACGCTCCAACCGCTGAGCCAAACCGGCCAGGGCACAAAGTGAGCACTCTTTTAAAAAATACTTTTCAACACTGTAAATATAAAAAGAAATAAACATATAATTCCTTATTATCATCTAATATCTAGTCCATATTCAAATTTCTCAATTTCTCCAAAAATTTTTTTATTAACACTGGATTGTTTGAATCAGAATCCAAAAGATTTGAAACACAATACATAGCATTGTGTTTGTTAAATCCTTCAAGTTTCTATTACAGAAAAGTCCCTCACCTCCTCGCCTGTCCCTGACTTGTTAAAGAATATGAGCTTTGGCCCTGGCCGATTTGGCTCAGCGGTTAGAGCGTCGGCCTGCGGTCCTGAGAGACCCGGGTTCGGTTCCCGCTAAGGGCACGTACCTCGGTTGCAGTTTGTCCCCGGCCCTGGTTGGTTGTGCAGGTGGCAGCCACTCGATGTGTCCCTTTACATCGATGTTTCTCTCTCTCTGTTCCTCTCTCTCCCTCCCACTCTACCTGGACAAAAAATGGAAAAATGTCCTCGGGTGAGGATAAAAAAAAAAAAAAAGAATATGAGCTTTGTAAAATGACTCACGTTTTGCAATGTCCCTTTGTTTCTTCATGGTATCATTTGTTTCTTTACCACATGCTTTTTTGTTTTAGATATTGAAAGTTAATTTTAAACAGATTCAGTTTCAACACTTTAGGTCAAAAATGCTAAATAATGGTGTTGTATACTTCATATTGTCGTACTAATTACTGATCAGTGAATACTCAGAATGAAGGTAGTGACAGCCTGGTCTCTTCTGTGTGTTAGGTTCACCCTTTCGTCAACTTTGATGTAACGGTTCCATGCACTAATGAACTTCCCCTGAAAACATTATTTCAATACTTTTAGATTAAATTTTCTAATATTTTCTTGCTGGCATGTAGATATGCACCTGATTTCTGGCAAACTTGGTAAATGTTCCTGCTCATTCTAATAATTTTTCTATAAATTCTTTTGGGTTTTTTATGTAGACGGTGATATATAATAATTATGTTTTAGAATCTTTACATTTTCCTTTTTCCTTGTCTTATTGAATTTGCTAGAAGTTCCAGAACCATGATGAAAACAAGTAGTGAGAGGATTTTTGTCTTTCTTCTGATTGTAACAAAAATGATTCTTACATTTCACCATTGACTATTTGATATTTGCTGTAGTATGATGATATTTGCTGTAGTATTTTCTTTGGAAACTTTTTACCTATTGCTTCTCTGCCAAAACTGTCTGTTGTTTTAGTCGTCAATGAGTGGTGAATTTATTGACATACTTTTGAGACTTTCTAATGTCAAACCAATTTCATCATGAGATAAACCCTATTTTATATTTTGCATGATATTTACCTCTATAATTTATTTTTACTTCTTTCCTGCTCAACCAAACATTTATAAAATTAATTTAAAAATCTGATATTTTTATTATTTTGTGTAATGAAGGTTTCTCAGAGAATATAGTTAATAATATTATCTAAAACAAAACTGTGAATCCTCTGTATAAGGTTTCAAAACACACACTTTTGGATAATTTGGATATGATTCTATTTACGGGCAAAAAAAAGGTTTTTTAAAAAATAATTTCTAAATACTTCCTCAGCATAGAATTTTGATTATGAGAAATTATTCAAAATTAAATAGTAAATTAATGACATTGATAAGTCATTCTCTGATGGAAGTGACACTAATACACTATTACAAAGTCACAATTCAGATCTTTACTTTCTGCCATCTTACATACGTATACAGAAAAATTCAGGCACAGAAAATATAATAAAATAAAGCCAGTTACCATGGGAAGAAATAAAAATGGAACTAATGTGTATATTTGATTCTCCTCGTGTAATTTTCTGTGCTAATATTTCTAATTTTATTAATCTGGTATCAATATCAACTAATAGAAAAAGTAGGTTGAGATCTTTGCATTAAAAAACACAAAGGTAAAATTTTGTTTTCATGAATCAACTGCTCTTTTTCAAAATGAATTCCTTGTAACAGTGGTTTATTACATGCAAATATTTTGCTCTCTGTTTTAAGAGAGAAAAAAATTCAATGTTGTACAAATTCTTTTCACTTTGCATCTGTAAATTATTCCATATGGTGCTGGCAACCACGAACACCTGTAATGGAGTCTGGTTATTTCCAGCAATAGGTCACACTGAGTAAGAAACCTAAAAAACAAACAAACAA